TAGCAGGACCAAAAAGCTAGTTGGGGAGGAAAGGTTTTATTCAGCTTACACTTCCACCAAAGGAGGTCAGAACAGGAACTCAGTCAGGACAGGAACCTGGAGGCAGGAGCTGAAGCAGAGGCCATGGAGGGTGCTGCTTACTGGCTTGCTTCACATGGCTTGCTCAGCCTGCTCTCTTATAGAACCCTGGACCTCACCCAGGGTTGGAACCACTCACAATGGGTGGCCCCTCCCCCATCGATAGCTAATTAAGAAAATGCTTTACCACTGGATCTTACGGAGGCGTTTTCTCAGTCAAGGTTCCCTCCTTTCAGGAAGCTCAGGTTTGTGTTTCAGGCTGACATAGACCAGCCAGCACTCAAACCTTCAGGGAGCCTGAGAGTAGTCAATGCAGAAGAAAGGGCGCACAGGCAAGGCAGGCTTCCTGTGCAGCAGAGCAGGTCACAGGGAAGAGGTTTCCAGGAAACTTCAGAGCAGGCCCTCACTCCCTTTTTCCAGCTTTCCCTGAACAGTTCAGAAGCAGAGGCTTGGAAGAATCCAGCTGTTCTAAGAGACAGTGCTAGAGGATGGGGGCCCAGGAAGTTTGAGCCTTTGCCCAAAAGCTGTCCTGCTGCTATGTGGCAGATGGGTTGCTGGGAAACTTCAAGTAGCACTCAGTGAAGAGAGCCTTGTTTGCTAGACTCACTCAGCCTCTCCGCTAAGGCTCCAGCTCCTCTGTTCTCCAGCACTATTCGCAGAGTGTCCCTGTGTGGGGAGCCAGGAGAGGGTTCTTGAGTAGGTGAGACAGGTCTGCCCTTCACCAATGATCTGCCCGCGCTCCTGGCGTCGTTCTGATATGGGCTCCACTTTCCTTCAGCACCCCTCTGTGAACATGAGCACCTTAGTCTCTGCGTTAGGTGTCAGACCCTATCCGTCCTGAGAAAGACGCTGGAGCCGCCGCCTCAGCGTTAACCCCAAAGCTCAGGGCCCTCTACCCCAAGGAAGCAGCTCCACACCACAGCCCCCCTCACTCAGAAGAGCCCCTGTGGCCCTGGGCGTGTGTGCTCCCAAGCTGCCCCAAGACCAGGTTGCTTTGACTGCTGAGCAAGGTTTGGGGAGCAAGACTCCCGGAGAGTGGAAAACCTTAGTGAAGACGCCTCAAACCCTTTCTCCAATGTGTGAATGAAAGCCAGACCCCACGCTGTGAGGACCTTGTGGTGTGTGTGGGGGGGGGTGGAAACATCAATGGTGCTCAGCTGGGCAGCAGCTGCCCTTTGGGGGCCACCCCAGGACTCATACAGCCTGTGCTTCCTAACACCTGAGCAGGTGGCACCAGGCCAGGGAACCGCAAGAGAACAAGCCCTGCCGGGAACCTGAATGTCCTGCCAGGCTGCCCCTGTGTCGGTGCTCACTCTTCCAGCCCCTTAGAGGGTAGGGGAGCGGCTCAGGCAGGGCTGCTCCCTTGAACCAGCACCTACTGATGAAGATACAGAACACGATGGTGCACAGGCCTTTGGCCTAATGTGTGTGTAATGGAGCATTTGTCCAGCATGCGTAATAACCTGGGTTTGATCCCTAACACTAGAAAAACAAACACCTTGAGGGCTTGCCATGCATGGTGCAAGCCCTGAGTCCCAGTTTTGTTTTGTTTTGTTTTCTTCCCTCTTCTTTAAGACAGGGTTTCCCTGTGCAGCCTTGGCTGTCCTGGAACTAGCTTTGTAGGCCACGCTAGCGTTGAACTCAGAGACCCTCCAGCCTCTGCCTCTCCCAGAGGTGTGTGCAAGTCCCATTACTGCTAAGTGCAAGGGTTTACAGCTAGTCTGGGCAGCACAGTAAGACTGACCTCAGAATACATAAGGAGGGCCTGGAAGCTCAGGCTTGCAGTCCCAGCATTTGGGAGGCTGCTGCTGAGTTTAAGCCTACAGAGCCAGACCCTATCTCACAACTATAACAGAAATAAAGGGTGGTGATAAAGAACAGAAGCCCTGAGGGTGTGTCTTAGTTGGGTTTTATTGCTGTGAAAAGACACCATGACCCTTAGGGCTGCTCACAGTTCAGAAGTTTAGTCCAGTACTGTCGTGACCGGAAGCCCAGCAGTGTGCAGGCAGACATGGTGCTGGAGAAGGAGCTGAGAGTTCCACACCTTGATTCAAGGCAGGAGACTGTGTGCCGTACTGGCTACATGAGAGCCCAAAGCCCGCCCCCACAGCGACACGCTTCTTCCGACACGCCGCACCTCCTCCTAGTGCCACTCCAGGTGAGCAAAGTATCCAAACATAGGAATCCACCAGGGCCATTCCTATGGAAACCACCACAGGGCATATGGACTAATTCTCTGTTCTAAGACTCTGGCTGCACCCAGGGAGAAGTAAAGACACATTCCCAAAGAAATACAGTGTTTTCTTTAAAGGTTTATTTATTGTATGAGTGCTCACATTACAGATGGTTGTGAGGCACTGTGTGGATGCCAGGAATTGAACCCAGGACCTCTGGAAGAGCCGACAGCACTCTTAACCGCTGAGCCATCTCTTCAGCCCAGAAATACAATATAAAGAACTACATCTAGCCGAACAGGGGTGGGGCAGGCCTTAATTCTCAGCACTTAGGAGGCAGAAGGCAGCCTGGTCTACAGAGTGCCAGTAAGAAGCTGGGCCTGGTGGCAAATGGTAGGCAGAGGCAGGAGGAGCTCTGTGTGCTTGAGGCCAGCCTGGTCTACCAAGAGGGTCCGGGACAGCCAGGGCGTCACAGAGGGACCCTGCATCAAGCCGTGTCCTCGTCATGCCTTCATCCGCTCCAGAAGCCCCCGAGCCCGTGTGCCCCCTTTCCCAGCGGCGAAAGGGACCGAGAGTTCAAAACTGGAAATGAAAACCCGACCTCTCCCATCTTCCTTCTTTTTCTTTCCACTTCACTCTGAATTTTCAACAGCAGCGGAGTCTTCCCGCAAGAAGCAGCAGAGACCCCGAAGCAGCTGTCGATGCGGCAGAAAAGGGGGGAATAGACCACTTTTAATGACTGCGCGGCACACTACCTGCAGAGACGCTCTGCAGCCGCACGTAGATCAGAACCAACAGTGAGAGCCCCCGAACCAGGGTGCCATCTCGGGCATTTTGGGGATCTGTGCCCCTCAACAGCCGCGTCCTTTTCAGCCCGCTGACCCATGTAGAATGAGAGGACTGGGCCGCGGAATGGTTAGGAGGCGTACCGCCGGGACACGTCCCGAACAGCAACCAGGCTGCCGCGTGGGGCGCTCGTCTGTGCGGCCAGCTCTCGGGGGGCAGAGGCAGGAGCACCGCCAGGACTGGAGGCCAGTGTGTGCTCACGCACCGTGAAACCTGAACCCAGGTGAAGACGGGGAAAGACACAACTCGAAAATACCCACGCGGCTTCCGTCGCACAGACCTCGCCTGGGCTGGCGTGGGGAGGTGGAGGGAGCTGGCCCGCCCGCGTCGGGGGCCGCGGAGACGCGAACCCGCCGCCGCACCGGACAGCGCGGGAGCGCGGCCCACCCGGCGAGCGCCCGCGCCGGTCCCGCGAGACGTTGCCGGGGCGCGGCGGGCGTTGCCAAGGGCGACGGCGCGGGGCTGCGCAGGCGCGATGGGGGCGCGCCCGCCGAGCGGCCGCCGCGCCTTTCCCTTTAAGCTCAGGCCAGCCGCGTCGCCGCTTCATGAATGGAACCCACGTGACCAAACATCATGTGACGTCTGAGCAGCGGCGGCGGCGGCGGCGGCGGCGTTATAGCCCACAACA